GGCGAGTCCCAGGGCACGGCTTGGTACTGATGCACTTTGGGCCCTCGTGGTTCTGCCTGTGGCATTTAACAGTGGGTCTCATTTTGGGTGATGATGGTGGCCTGTGGGCAGACCAGAGACTCTAGTGGTTCCTTCTGGCCTTAAGCTCTGTGCCTTGAACCCAGGCAGAACCTCCCTGGAGCCAGAGGGGTATGGCCAGTGCTTTTTTTTTTCTGATGGTACGCCCCGGGACCTATTTTCCCTGCATAACTTAAATGAATTGCACCCCCCTCGGGTGTACCGGCACCTCTTTTCCTGGGGCGACGGGGTTCTCATTGGAAGCACGATTTTTTTTTTTTTTTGCTCAACAACTTTCGCCCCGGAGTACCGGCACCTTTTTCCTTACCAAAAAAGCACTGAGTGGGGCCCTCTGCCCCCTTGACCGCTTTGTGCTTGCCTCACCTCCTTCACGGCCACTGGGCATGCCAGACCGTTAGCCAGCGGGTAGCCACCAGCATAGTTACGCCAGGTTGAACAGGGCTGTTCTCATTCCTGAGAGCATTTTCTTGAGTGTCCAGCAAAGCCTGAGGCTGGGGCTGAACTGCGGAGAGCCAAGCTGGAACTTGAGCCAAGTTGAGACTGCCTCAAAATTCAGGGGGTTTTGAGGGTCTGGTGCACCAGCTCAGTACCCTGCCCAGTATAAGGACTGGGCCGCAGGATGTCTGGGTTCTCCTCCTCCCTGTGAGGCAGCGAATGGGCAAAAGGCCATTTCCAAAGGACGTTCTTTAGTGAATGTGTTGCTATTGCAAGCACTGAGCAAATGGCTTTTTCATAGCATTTCAGGCTTTCAATGGGCTAGTGGCACAGCGGGTTAGAAAGCTGCTGTTTATCGACGGAGGGTTTTGGGGGACAGCAGGCAGGGGTTGGCTGGAAATCATAGAATAATAAAACCAAAAGGGACCCTGAGAGGGCATCAAGTCCAGTCCCCTACCCTCACAGCAGGGCCAAGCATCGTCTCGAGAGCTTTGGGGTTCAGAGGAGATGCTCCCCTAGGGAAGGATTGCTTGACATCAGAACGCCAGCTTCACACCTACCGGGGCGTGATCCAAAGCGCAGTCAAGTCCATCCGTCGTTCTTATTGGATGCCGACAAAAGGGGAACGATTCCAAACGTCCTGTAAGCACTTTAGGCCTGTTCCCAAGCCCACTGAAGTTCCATTGACTGTAACAGACTTTAGATCACACCCTATAAAGTGCCTCATCAGTCAGAATGGACTCCCACTGAAGTTCCATTGACTGTAACAGGCTTTAGATCACACCCTGTAAAGTGCCTCACATCAGTCAGAATGGACCTTGCAGGTTTTTTTCTATGACTGCCGGATGGCGGTAGAGCAAGTTCTCTTAATCTCTCCACCAAAACACAAGTCTGCCATGTGACCTCAACATCTGTCTGCACACGCAGGATTATAGGATTGACCCCAGATGGATTTGCATGGGGAAGTCGTCTCATGTGGGTTAGAAGCTTGTCATCTGAGCGCATGGGAGTTAGAGCATGCCTGGACATTTGGCCCCAAAGCTGCCCTACGGGTTGGCTAATAAAACAGGGCAGCCTTGTGTGCCCAAGCTACCCCCTCTCCTGCGTCTTAAGGTTTAGGGATGTTAAATGTATTTAATCAACTAGGCGATGGACTTCCCATCGACTAGTCGATAAGGGGGAGCCGCAGCTGTGGCTCTGCCTTTGAAATGGATTAAGAGATTGTTGGCTCTTAATCCAGTTAAAAGGCTAATGCGCAGCAGGAGGAATCAGTGCGAGCTGGGAATCAGCTGTCCCAGCTTACGCTGGGTCCCCCCTGCTGCGCTTTATCCTTTTAAATGGATTAAGAGGCTTTAGGCTCTTAAAAAGCAGAGGTGAGTCTGGGGCTAGACGTGAGCCGGGAATCAGCTGATTCCCAGCTTGCACCCGGACCCAGCTGCCTCCCCTGCCCCCCCCGTGGAGAAGGTCCTGGGGCAACTGGGTTTTAAGCTGGCTCTCCCCCAGCACCGGCTCTTGCTCCACCCCTTGCTGCTTCTGCTAGAGGCAGCAAGGTGGAAGGGAGGGGAAGTGACTAGTCAGCTAGTCCCTCAACTATCCAATAAGCTTTTGCTTATCAGATAGTCGACTAGTCGCTTACATCCCTAATAGGGTTATCTTCTCCAAAGCACTGCAATGAATCTGCGTGTCTTCCTTGCCTTTGCTTGTCTCCCCTTCATGATTGTCCTCTGTGAACTCAGCTGCCCAATTAGCAGAGCCACATCAAAAGGAGGAGAGTACTTATGAAGGACATGTACCGGTGGTTTCTTCTGTTCCAAACCTCATAACAGATTACTTGATGGCCCGTCTTACGCTAGCTCCCTGCACCTACAAAGCAAAAGCAGCTTTTTTTTATTGATCTTTAGCCACGTTGCAAGGACCATGTTCTGAGAGGGAGGATAATTACAGGCCGAGAAAACACTGATGTTGTGAAAAACATGAACTGATGAACTGTCTTCTTCAGATGCTAATCAGGCTCAAAAGAATCCAGGTTTATGGCTCCATTCAGCTCCTGGCAAGGGCTGCAGCATTCCTCCCAACGGCAGCTGGGTCTGGCCTTTGGACACACAGAGGTCATGCACTTTTGGAAGCATCAGCGCTACATGCCATAATTAGCACCAGTCAGGCTAATGGGTAGGAAGAGCTGCCTGCATGGGGCAGATGAAGCTGGCGGTGAGTCTGCTCTGACACATGCGGCTTGGATCTGATTTTTAATTAACTTGAAATTTTGGCTGTGGTCAAAAGTTCAGTTTTTTCCAAAAGTGGCTTCTCGTTGATGTGTCCAATTAGCTCCCTGCGTCTGCAGGCAGCTACGTCAGTTTGCGTTCCTTGTGCTAAGGTGGAGGAGGCCGGCCCAAAAGTAGTGTGGGGGGTTGAAAGCCAGGCTGTTAAGGCTGCAGGGATCGGGACAGGAGGACCAGTGTAAGGCTGGAAAAGTGAGGAGCTGACCTTGAATATTCCCCTCCCTCAACCTCTTTGGAAGATTTAGCATGATAATGATACCGAGCCTTTGCCGGCAGCCCGTGAGAGTAATTAACCAAGGATCAATTTGCCAAGGTTCATGTTTTCTCGATCACTGACAGTTTTTAACAATATTGGATGCTTTTCTAAAAAGATCAGCTCAGGGAATTATCTTAGGGGAAATTCTCTGCCCTGTGTGGTACAGGAAGCCAAACTAGATGGCTGCATCTAGAATGGCAAGTTTTTCCGCAAAAGCAAGAGCTTTTGCGCAAAAACTTGCCAGCTGTTTACACTAGCCGCTTGATTTTGCGCAAAAGCACTGACGTTCTACTGTCCGAAATCAGTGCTTCTTGCGCAAATGCTTTGACGTTCCCGTTCGGGCAAAAGCCCTTTTCCGGAAATGTTTTTGTGCAAGAGGGCCAATGTAGACAGCTAAAAACTGTTTTGCGCGAAAAATCCCCAATGGCGAAAATGGCGATCGAGGCTTTCTTGCGCAAAACCGCGTCTAGATTGGCATGGACACTTCTCCACAAAAAGTGCTTTTACGGAAAAGCGTCCGTGCCAATCTAGACGCTCTTTTCCGCAAATGCTTTTAACGGAAAAACTTTTCCGTTAAAAGCATTTGCGGAAAATCATGCCAGTCTAGACGCAGCCTGACAGTTCTATGCCGGGGCAGAGGTACTTCCAAAGCGCTCTCACCGTTACTATCTTAGCGAGCTGGGCAATGGAGTATCACAAGTGGGGGAGAGCTGTCTTGCAGTGCCCTTTGAAAAAAGCCATTCTCTATGGAGGAGATAGGAAGAAGAAATTTTCTCATGCAATTGCCAGGATGGCCTGCTTCCTAAAGGGTCAGAAATCCTCTCTCTCTCTCAGCTCTCGTCCACCTTCTGCCTCTCTCTCCTTCTCTCTCTCTTTCTCTTCTCCCCCTCCTGCCTCTCACTCTGTGTTTCTCTTCTCCTCCTCCTGCTCCTTTCTCTGTCTCTCTCACTCTCTCTCTCGCTGTCCTCTGCCTCCTCTCCGCCTCCTCCGTTCTCCTCTCTGTCTCCTCCGCATCCTCTGTGTCTGCTCCACTTTCCTCCTTTTGAATCCGGTGCCCTTTCCTGATGTCAGAGATGCACGCTCGTCCAGGCCCTGCCCCTGGCTGTTCAGTCTGGGTGGGCTGTTGCCTCCTGCCGTGCTGCATGGGGAGCGCAGACCCCAAACATCCGCTTGTGCTGCATGCTCCCGCATGGTGGCCTGGCTGAGTGGCGCAGAAGTCAGCCGAGCGCCACGGCAGGAGGCAACAGCGCCGCCCACAGGGAACAGCCAGGGGGCGGGGCCTGGACGAGCATGCGTCTCTGACGTCAGGAAAGGGCGCCAGATTCAAAAGGAGGAAAGCAGAGCAGACACAGAGGATGCAGAGGGGACAGAGAGAATGGAGGCGGCAGAGGACAGCAAGAGAGAGAGTGAGAGGCAGGAGGAGGAGAAGAGAAAGAGAGAGACGGAGAGAGAGGCAGAAGGCGGAGGAGAGCTGAGAGAGGGAGAGGCAGTAGGAGGAGGAGAGAGAGGCCGTTTGTGCTGCTTGCTCCCGTGCGGCGGCCTGGCTGAGCGGCACAGAAGTCATCCAAGCGCCATGGTGGAAGGTGAAGGGGGGCAAGGCGGTGATGTACACGCCCAAGGGGCGGGGTCTGGATGAGCATGTATCCCCAACAGAGACAGAGGAGAGCGGAGAGAGAGTGAGAGGCAGGAGGAGGAGAAGAGAAAGAGAGAGACGGAGAGAGAGGCAGAAGGCGGAGGAGAGCTGAGAGAGGGGAGGGAGAGAGAGAGAGAGACCGGAGGCTCAAGAGAGAAGACTGACGTGGAGGAGACCCCTGAAAATCCCATCTTAGGATGGGCTAATTGGCTAGTTAGTAATAATGTCAAACATTTTCCAACTTCAAAACAGCTTTGAGGTCTCGGGTGGAAGCTGAGGTTGGTTCTTATTTAGTTAATTCCCAGGAATGCATGTGCAGCTAGTTGGGTGACATTGCACAAAGGAACGTTTCAACCCTTCCCTCCTTGGCTTGGGTCCAAATGACGTATCTAACCAACGCGATGATCTTTTTCTCGACAGGCACCAGAGAAATGGAAGACCACAATAGCATTGTCCTCCCTGTAATTTTTGCCATAATTTGCCTGGTGGGAACTGTGGGGAACTGCATTGTGATCTATACCATCACCAAAAGACCCAAGAGAAACCACAACACAGCAGATGTCTTCATCGTGAGCCTCTCCATCACGGACCTTCTCTTCCTGCTGGGCATGCCTTTTCTCATCCACCAGCTTCTAGGGAATGGAGTCTGGCTTTTCGGGGCTACCATGTGCACCATCATCACTGCGTTGGATGCTAACAGCCAGTTTGCCAGCACGTACATTCTCACGGCAATGTCCATTGACCGCTACCTGGCCACCGTATACCCCATCCGCTCCGCCTACATGCGCACCCCTTGCACAGCTGCCTTGGTGATCTTGCTGCTTTACCTCTTGTCTCTCCTAACCATCGTGCCGGTGTTCATGTACACCCAGCCCATTGCTCTGCCTGGAAGCAAAGCCGGCTGTGGCATCATCCTACCCAACCTCTCGGTTGATATCTATTGGTACACGCTGTACCAGTTCTTCCTGGCGTTTGTCATTCCACTGGCAGTCATCTGCATTGTGTACCTGAAGATACAGAAGCACATTTCATGCAAGGTACTGCCACTGCCCCAGAGGAACTTCAGAGCCAGGACTAAGAAGATCATGCGGATGGCTATCACCATTTGCTCTGCCTTTTTTATCTGCTGGGCACCCTATTATATACTGCAATTGGTGCATCTCAAAATCACCCAGCCCTCCATTATGTTCCTCTATGCCTATAACGTAGCGATCAGCCTGGGTTATGCAAGCAGCTGCATCAACCCCTTCATCTACATTGTGTTGAGTGATACGTTCCAAAGGAACCTGGTGAAGGCCTTCTGCCCAGGCCGGCAGGCCCGAAGGGGGGCTAGAAATGCCCCTGGGAAAGTCGGTCCCTCTGTGAAAATAAGTCCTGTGCCAAATCAGGAAACTTATCTTAGCATGACATACTCTCGTAATATAGCTAATTGCATCTCTCTCTCTGTCTTAGTTCCTTAGCGGAAAACCACACGACTTTGCTCAAGGATGGCCAGGTGAGCCAAATAGGTGTCAAAGCTTTCTGGGGTTGTAGACACAAAGGAGCAAAGAGAAGGGTTAAGATTTGTTGTAAGGAGCACAGCCAAGAGGCTGACCTCCCGGGGGTACGCTGGAGCAGAACATCATTTTGGCCGAATATAAAAAATTCCTTACAGTGAGACCTACCCCCGAGTGGAATCTTGTTGTACAGGATCTCCTGGGAACCCCACTGCTTGAGTCTGCACTCCAGAGCACATCCAAAGGAGGGGTCTGCACTGACCGCCATAGCGCTTACCCACCTTTAAGGTGCCTGGTTCTGCTGTTACGGAGCTGAAGTCCATTGGACAACCCACCTGGCTTCAGCCAAAGTCTATTCTTCTAATTCTGCTCCCACGGGTGGTAGGGTGTGCTGGCTTCTGATTGGCTCGAACAATGTGTATTTTTAATCTTGTGGCTGGTTACCAATCAGCAATCCTGCAATTTAACTGTTTGGAAGACTTCCGTTTGATACATATAAGCTTGGGGTTACAGCCACAGTTGGTAGTAAGGGGACCGATACATTGGGATAGGGAGACTGCAGCTCTAATAGATGAAACGTTGCTGTTGTTCCAGCTCACTGAGGGAGCAGGAAGAAATGGCTTTACCTAGCTGTTCCATTACAATAACTTTCTTTTTATAACTAGAAAGCTTGAATATTTAGTAAGTTCGTACTGGTGGCAAATATGAACTTCCACAATAGATGTCTCAAACTGTAAATATCTTAATTGTTAAATATGATTGTGTCTAGGACTCTGTCTTACCCAGTATGCATTAACGGGTGGTCTCGTCTCTTTATTCTCATTATGTCATTAGGCTTTCTCCCTGTCAGTCGCGGGGCACGCACCCTTCTTTCACTCATGGTACTTTGCCTTGTGACTGTTCAGTGGTGTGTGCAATACAAACACAGATATAACCAGGAGCGGAGAGGGTGAGACACTGCAAAGGATGGGAAGAATAAAGGATGTGGATCCCACTATACAGATACAGGGCTACCTACACAAAGCCACAGCTGCAGGGAAAGTCTTGGGTAACAGGGAAATGCTTTGGCAGAGGTGGGGAAAGTTTTCAGCAGCTCCCCACAGCTGCTGAAATCTTTCCCCACTTCCTCCCTTCTGCCAGAGCCTTTCACTTAGCCAACATGTTTCTACAAGGGTATTTCTACACTGGCGGGTTCTTGCACCAGAAATATGCAAATGAGGCTAAGTATGGAATAACGCCAAGCCTCATTTGCATATTTAATGAGCCGCCATTTTTGCGGAAGAGGCTCTTGAGCCAGAAGGAGCTGACTACACTGCCCCTTGCCGTTATTCCTGAAAATAATCTGCATAGCGGCATTGCGCAAGAGGGTTTTTTTGCGCAAGAAGGGGCAGTGAAGCCGCTCCTTCTGGCGCAAGAGCCTCTTCTGCAAAAATGGCGGCTTATTAGATATGCAAATGAGGCTCAGCGATATTCCACGCTTAGCCTCATTTGCATATTTCTGACACGAGAACCCGCCAGTGTAGACACAGCCACAGTGTGAATGCAGCCTGCTTTTCACAGTAGCTTGCGACTAGATGTACGCAACACACCGGCACCTGATGAGTAGTGCAGATGTAGCCTTAGCAGAGGTGAGGAACCTCCCCCCACACTGATGTGGTCCCAGCAAAGAAAGACTCCCCACATTCCCCTCACACACCAGAGCCTAAGGAAGCCCAGGCTAGTAGATTTTGTGTGCTTCAGCCCCATGGGAGGGGGCAGGAGGGCTAGATCACCAGTGCGAATTCTCCAATGCTATGGGGGGAGCCTCGTGCCTCGGGGGCCAGACCTAGGCAAGCTGGGGGCCGCATCCAGGCTGTAGGTTCGCCACCTTTGCTTAGAATATACATGCAGACAATCTTGGTCTGAATTCTGGTGCTTATGGCTAAGGAGCTGGGTAGGTAATGGACCACAGTTCCGGTGAGACAAGCCTACTGACCCTCCTACAGGCCATGATGGAGTCCCTCATTAGCATATTTTCTGCCACAAAAATGTGTAGTGTAGACAAAGCCTGGGATTTGCCAGATGCCATTGGTATTTTGATGGCACAAGACACACAGACGGTGCTGCACAACAGGCAAAGGGTGCCAGATGCTGAAATGTCCCTGCTCTGAAGTGCTAACCTACTAAAGGCAATGGAACTTCAGCCCTAGAAAAAAGCATTAAAGAACGGGATGATCTTAAAGAATCTACCCAGGACACTGACGGTCCCTCAAGAAGCATAAAAATAATAGACAAAGTTATAAACGTGTAATCGACAAATGTGGCACCTACAGTATAATCTAAAATACACTGTCTCTAAGCGACTGTGATTGGTTTTTTTTTTAATACACTGAATTGGAGTTGTATTCCCCACCCCCAATTTAGAGTGGTCACTAATACAGTACCAAAAGAGAATTATGTCAGGCTGCGTTGTACATGGCCAGTTTGGCCAAACAAGACATATCTGCATTGCTTTAACCATAGCAGCCCTCACCTGTTTCAGGCAAGAAGACAGCAGAAGATGGACACAGGAGGAAAGAACAAAGAATAACATAAATGGCCAACTTCAAACTACTATGTGAAATCCCCTTACTTGGTAAATGCAGGAGCTCCTGTATCCAAAATACCCTAGAGAGTCATATCTGAAGAAACTCACTGTATCGCTGTTGGAGTCAAGTTTGGGATTTTTCCTCTGTTTAATAGGGTACCATGCATGGAATCCTCATGCAGTTTTGCTCTCATTGTTCAGAGGAGTTAAGTCATTTCAAGTGAGTAAAAATCTCCAGGGTATTATATTTCACTTGTGCTGAGTTATTTATCTCTGCTTTCAAATATTCCAAATCTGATCTATCAAGGTACTTACATGGCCACATTGTAACAAAGTACTAAAAACCCCAATATCTTTCTCTTGATTAATTTGAGTGTAGTTGTGGCTTTGTAGTAGAACAGTTCATTATAATGGGTGTTAGTGTTATAATTCAAAACGCACAATGATGATAGAGAACAAAAGCTAATGCATGAAAAAATAAACCGAGCAACATAGATTTGTAAAATCATTTATAAAACTACAAAATGATTAGGGAATGCAGCTACGCTCCAAAATGCTTTCTATTACCTTTATCATTCATATTTACAAAATACAGTGTTTATTGTGTAGACTTTACATGCATCAAGAATTATGGTAACGTAAGTAACTTGCTTTATTTAATATTACTGTGATGTGCAGTGGTTTAAAATTAGTTTTTCTTTGTGCTTGTTTTTCCACAGGCTTTTTAATCTAAGTGACTTATAAACAGGGCTGAAATAATATTAATGCTGGTCTTCTCATGCTATTTGAAGTCAACATGTGCCGCAATATAGTCTCTCAAGTTGTTAAATAATCAGATGTCTCTCTATGGATTTCAGTTTTGGACACAAAGGATGGGGGCAAATGCCATAAGACTAGAACTTGTGTTATTTTGGACTGTATGTCTAAACTGCATAAAAATACTGTGGCACTGGTCAGCTTAATCAGGCTTGGACTGCAGGGCTAAAAATGGGGGCATAGATGCAGGTTGGCACCTGGGCTCTGAGACCCATGCCCACATCCAGACTCTCAGAACCAGGGCTCCAGCTGCAGCCCAAATATCCACGCTGCCATTTTATAGCTCTGCAGCCCAAGTCAGATGACCTTGGCCTGCTCCTGCAGTGTAGACATATTCTCTGAATGAAGGCCTCTCTTGTACCCTTATGCTGCAGCTGTCTGAGAACAGTGGGTTAGCTTTGGAGCTACTGCCATGTACAGTCATAAGAAACACTATTACGAGGCTTTCTACGGTAATATAACCAGGGAGAAAAACCTTCAATCAAATGTGAAAGTCAGCACATTATTTTCCTTATTTGTGCTGGTTACTGAAAGCCAGGGTATAGGACCCATTTAAACTGCCTGCCTGCCTCACAGCCTATCCTGTACTTTGACTAGACTGCTGAATTTGTGCTATCACAGGCATTTCATTGGGGGAAAGCTGCTACTGTCATCACAGAGTTATTTCTTTAGGTTACTGTGGGAATCAAGCATATGGAAGAGCTGGGCTAAGTGGGCAAGTGAAGATGTATCTTCAGTAATAACCAAGAGGATGCACAAATCCCAAAATTTTGCATAATGAGGGAGAGGTGCCCTGATTGCTACTCCTGGTAATTCCCTCCAGCAGTGGGTCTCAGTAATAGATTGGAGCAGGGGATTCCTCATTGCTTATGGCTGAATGCACAGCCTGTTTACTTGCGCTACTTGCTATTTTCCACGTCCTCACACACAGATCTATTTCCTCCTTGGTATCTGCACTTGCTACTAGTGCCAATGAGCATGAAGCAAGGGGATATTAAACACTTCACTGTGTGTGAATTCTTCCCCCTAAAACAAACCTTTTGTTGGTGTGCATAAGCTTGATTTGGAGAAGGAGAGGAAACTGGAAAGGGAAGAGTCTTTTGGATTTTGCTTTTCTTAAAAGTATGAAACAATCGAAAACTGCTTTAATTGAAAACTATGGAAGGATTTACTCATATTGCATATCAAATATTTTAGCGAGCAAATTCTAAAGCACTTCCAAAAGAGAGTATAATAGAAGACTGTAGTAGCAGTATGAAGAAGAAACATTGCTTTTTCCAGGGAAAGTGTCTGATTGTTCCACTTTAGTCTCAAATTCCCTTCATGTATTGCAATTTGAGTTTCCTCCTCCTACTTCAAAACCGTTGGTAAACAATTTCAGGCCTGCTTTGATGTTTTGAACACATTTTTTTTTTAAATGTAAACTGGAAAATTCATTAACTAATATATACAAAAGTTGATAATAAAAAGATATTTTGCAACATACCTTATGGCTTGAGCTTTCCAATTAAAATAGAATATCAATACAAGGATGGTGCCTGTCTCTCATGGGCACCTTTGAAAACCTCCCCATTGTTTAATGTTTATGAATCCCCTCTGTAAGAGACACCACTGAAGGGTTCTGCATGTCAGCCGGGCTTACATCATAGCCCAGTTTCTTCATGTCTTTAGTCACCACGTTGAAGGAAATGGTCACAAAGCCTTGGGATTGCACCGTGGTCACTAGAAATAGGAAAACACCATTAGCTAGTTCAGCTGATTGAACTGGCATTAGACGCCCCACAGAACACCAGGGTGGGGTTATTTTCAGCAGGCTTAAATAATCTTCTAAAGCTTTAACAAAGAAACGGAATGGTCAAAGTCTGGTCCATAGTCACAGAGGAATTACAGTCATTTACCTTCTCGTCCTTCTCCCTGAGCTACCACTTTTGGGTCCGTGAACTCTGGTCGTCTTCCCATGAGCCAACTTGGAGAAGGAGAAAAGAAAACAACTTACTTGGGGGCTGGGGGGAGGGGGTGTCACACTTGTTAACAGACTTGTTGCAAGGAAGTTTCATTGTATACCTGGAAATAAAATAAATATCACCCCCCTCCCTGTTCATAGTAGTTATTTCTGAGGGACGGAAGGTCGGTTTCTGTCAAAGATATTTTAACAGCACCTATCTTTAAGGATTTGAGGGAGACCTAATACTTTGTTATGCTGAGCAATATCTGTGTATATTAAAAGCATTTGCGTTCCATTAATTAGGAAAAGGTTATAAAAATACACACTGGACAGGGAAATCTGTGCAAGCATATGCTGTACCTTTCCTTTATAGCAGCGGTGGGGAACTGGACAATTTTAGTAATCGTGTAACTGTTAAAAAATTGTTGTTGCTACAGGATTACTAAAAACCATGAAATCTAACATCCCTATTTTCTGAAAACATTTCCTGTGAAGTCCAAGGTCTCCATCAGTACTCTTAAACACCGATATTTTGTATTAGGATGGAGAAAAAAAAGAGAGAAAAAGAACAATAAAAGTGTATATAAATGAAAGAGGCAGTTATTGTTCAAGAAAAACAACCGATTGCAACCAATATATACAGACACTCATTCTTAGAATGTAAACATGTCCCTTGGGGAATAGTCCAATTTTAATTTTAACAACTTTTTATGCTGTATTTAACATTCTGCATCCTCATAATGATTGTTTTCATCATGGAGTAATTACAGCAGCAGATGTTGCTGAATTACATGAAGAAAAATAAGTGTAATATTAGTGAAATCTATTCTAGAAAGAAATTAATGTGTTCACTTCAAGTCTACATAGGAAAGCAGCTTTGTTTGTACTCTTACTTGCACCATTTCATCAGTGGCAATGTTTTCTCTTTTGGAAGCCTCAGCGAATAGAAGGGAATGTGTGGTTGGTTGTGTTTGCCATCATATGGTGGCTACTTTTCAAAGAGACAAACAGCTCTGTCTTGGAAGGAATCCAGCAAATGCTTTTCAAAGTCATGCTTTCAAATGCATGGATAACAAGAAGGATGAAGATACAGAGTATCACTCCAAGTAGATGGCTAATGCTACATTTTAAGGTAAGGCTTTATAAGTAAAGCCATATTGCCCATTAAACTCATGAGCAATGTCTTTACCCATACAGAAACTCACGCGTGTACACAATGAATAGACACACCATCAATTAAAACAAAAATGTCCCTTCTCATGTCATTAACATCACTTTTGATTATTACCTTGTCAATTTTTGCAGCTTAGATGTGGATTCTGGAACAAACATAGGAATGGTTCTTCTATGACTAAAATGGAATTGATAGAGAGATTGTATGTATTGATGAAATGCACCTACTACCAATTTCCAATACTCCTGTTTGTATTATAATAATGAAAGTACAAATACAGATTAAAAAATGAGGTGAGACCTCCACAAGTAACTTGTAAGAATAAAATCAAACTTTCCAATGCACAGCTTGCATGGGAAACTTGCAAAGGGCACCAGGCCAGCTGGGGGAGCCCCTTAAACCTGGAATGGTACAGTCCTCTCAGGAGATGAGACAGTGCAGAACTGAAGACTTGCATGCCCAGACACTCCAAAGCATTTAGGTGCCTATGTCCCACTGAAAGCAATAGGGGTTTGGTGCCTCAAGCCCTTTCAGGATCTGGGCCAGTTCACCTGCCCTCCCAGCCACAAATTAAAACTAGCCCTATGCTGAATAAAAGGCATCAAGGCTCAGTTCTGATGACCCAGTGTCTGTCAGAGAATAGATTCCATGTCCATGGCATAAGCAAGTTATAGAGATGCTTGGGGGCATTTATTTTGGCTCTGATAATTTTACCTTCGAAAATAACAAGATGGAGCTAAGGTCAAATTATATCTGGGGAGGAACATCTCAAACAGAAAGATGAACCAACCCTTAACCCACCTTCCAGGCACGAATGGAACATGAACAGCTCCATAACCTCGGACGACATCATTTCCAAAAAGATCAGGGCCATAGACGCTTACTACTATTTGGGGCCCTTAAAAAGAAAACAGGTGTTAATATAAAGGGAGTTAAGGGCAAGGAAGGAGATGGATTTGGCCCTAAAATTTCTTAAATGCATTACTAACCCGCTGTTATTTAACAGTACCTGAAAGCAACTATAGATGGTCAAGAACTGCAGGTCCAAATATGTATTTAGTTACCTGTATTAGGGAACTACTAGCCAGTAGGCATAGGAAAGCAAACTGCTAATTGTACAGGTTGTACCTCCCTTAAACAGGACTCTCTGGTCTGGCAACATCTGTGGTCTGGCAGGACCACAGATGTTCCTGGACCACAGCACCCAGGTATAGGGAGGTCTGGCCTTGGGGCAGAAGCGCAGCAGAGGGGGGCTGGCAACTCAGCCAGGAGCCCAGTATTAGGAGGATTGGGGGACAATGCAGTGGGGAAATCTGGTCCCAGCAATTGGGCAGGAGCAAAGGGCCGGCCCTGGCTGCAGAGCCCTGGAGGTGGACAGGGAGCTCTGGCCCCAGCAGCTGCAGGGCCAGCAGGAGCTGGAGAGCTCCGGCCCAGGAAACGACAGCAGGGTGGGCTGAAGCACTAGTGGGGGGGGGGGGGGGGGGGGGGGGAGGCAAGACGCAG